TTTAAATAAATTTAATCCGGTGTTTTGATAATTTATCTTCTTAACCATCATAATTAAATAATTTTTATAAAAACTTATAAATTTTTGATCTCGTTTAATTTGGTTTACATTAAAATAGGAATGTTATAATTAATATAACGACAAACTTACATATTCATAGTCTGAAATAAACTACAAAAAAATATGGGTGTCCTGTTCTGACACTACTCGACAAAAATGGTGTAATAGTATGAGCAAAACCATGAAATAAATTGTAAGTTAAATTTTATGAGCAAAACCGTGTAATAAATTGTTAGTTAAATTCATTATGTCAAAAAATAATATTGTGGTGTTTTGATCAATTTTCTACCAAACCATTAAAATTAATGTTTTTAAAAAATAAAAACTAATGAATTTTTGATCTCGGCTAATTTGGTTTATATTAAAATAAGTTTGTTGTAATTAAAATAACGACAATAATACATGTAGTTTGAATAAAAATATGAGTGTCCGGTTCTTTTGTCTTCGTTTGCACTGTATGCTACTCGACGAAAATCCGTTGCGTGTAATCGGGCAGATGTGCACGAGGGTAATACAATCTTATGGAAAAATGGTCTTTGAATTTGCGTCGGGTAGCGTTGCATCGGGTACGTGTGTTCCCAGCATTGTCGGGTTTAACCGTAGAACAACAAACTGATGATTTTAGAAATGTTAAGAGTTGTTAAAGACCTACTTTTTGCTCTTGTTCAAAGTTTTATAGATTAGGCCTGTCTAGTCCTGGTACCCTCATGCTTATGACAAATTATACAAAATTCTAAAACTTTTCATTAAGCATATGGTTCATGGTTGCTATTCATTTGACTACTGGCTCCTTCATTTCTCCAGGATGAAACTATTCGCATTTATCTTTATTTGGAAACGGTTCCATAGTCACATTGATTGTCCGGAAAACTAGGTTTAATTGGATATCGCATACCTAATAATAGAACACGAACAAAAGCAAGTCTTGATTTCCAAGTTTTATTTTATTTCAATTAATTAATTTTTTAATTACATAAGCCTGTGGCTGGAACATTGGTCCTCCGGGCCGGACAGTTTTTCTCTATACAGTCCATTCGTTAAATTATTTAAAACAAAAATCATTAAAGTTCTGTACCTCTCTTAACAGTAAAAATAAAATAAAATTTTTAGTTTCGGTCAATATCAGTCACGTGTACACATACCTAATAATAGAACTCAAACGAAAGCAAGTCTTGATTTCCAAGTTTTATTTTATTTTAATTTTTTTTAATTACATAAGCCTGTGGCTTAAACATTGGTCCTCCGGGCCGGACAGTTTTTCTCTATACAGTCCATTCGTTAAATTATTTAAAACAAAAATCATTAAAGTTCTGTACCTCTCTTAACAGTAAAAATAAAATAAAAATTTTAGTCTCAGTCAGTATCAGTCTCGTGTACTCTCTCCTTCACTTTCTTTCACCATATTAATTTTTTCCTCTCTTCTTTTCTCTCTCAGCCACCACCAGTTTAAATAGATCTTTTTTTAATCACTCTAATGGATCACTCCAGTGATCACTCCATCCTCCAATCACTTCTCAGATAATCACTCCATCCCTAACCATCTCTAATTACACATCCTTTGGGGCATTCGTAAATCAATTTATTTGCATGTTTATTCAATTAAAGGGTACAATCAAGTAAGTGTGTGCATAACTTAAAATAAAATTGACTCCATTGGTTCAGAAAATGGTCGACTTGGAATCAGCAAAACTTCAACGAACCTCCCAAAAAGAATCAAAAATCTAAATAATATTTAATCTTCCTTAATTTACCCTCCTTTAATGGCACGATAATAGACTGTACCAATTTTTTTTCGCTTTATTTAACAGTTTACTTCCTAATGAAAGTTCACTAAGTAAGACAAAGAAATTTCATCATTTAATTTCTTCTTTGAGGACGAATTTCTCGCCACAATCTCGTGTTTTCATATCAGCCCTGATAATTATCTTCTACTTTGACCAGCCGCTACCACAACAAAAGAATTTGTTGCCCTTCCATAGAAAAACTTATGGACTTCTTTCTCATATTTGTTGTCAGTATTGAATTCATTTAATGCTTCCATTGATATTCATAATATCAGTAGTATTAGAATTCTGAAGAGCCAGGTATTTAATATTAAAAAAAAAGTACATTTATTTATAATATATTGTTTTCTATGTTCTATTTATAATTATGAGTTGGCACGTTTATATTTATATTATACTGTTTTCTATTACTAGTTGGGCATTAGCCTGTTATTGTAATTAATTCTAAAATAAATAAGCAAATAAAAAATAAATAAAACCTTTGCGTTTTCAAAATCAAAATTTCTTCTTATAAACTTTCACGTATAATACGAATCCCTGATTTTTTTTACCCTAGCGTTTGGCAAATTCTTCCAAAAGTTTTCTCCAAAAGGTTCGTACTGGGGCTTGAACTCTTTATCGCTGGCGAGAATGATCTGGGGTAATTTGATATGTTGAACTTGGCAAACGACTTTTCTTGGCGTTTTCTACAAGCATCGAACCAGTTTCGGTGGTTTCGTTGTCTTCCTCCGTCGGATGAGTTCCTTTTTATCGAAAAATTATTTTGTATTTTTTAAACTCGATTCAGCGTTACTTGTCCTATGAAATTTAACAGCAAGAATGTAAGAACTTAAAGTGAAGACTTTATTGTCAAAATGGACATACCGTCAAACTTCACCCTTAGTCACGTCAAATTAACCGTTTTCTTTTTTAGTATAAAAACTAATTCTTTTTCGCATCAAATTAATCCTTTTAAATTAATAATTCACCCTTTTCCCCATTAAACTGACCCTTTTTAATTTATAATTAACCTTTTTGCCATCAACTTAATCTTTTAAATTTATAATTATTTAATTAATTATCCCTATTTTCATCAAATTAACCCTTTTTAATTTATAATTATTTAATTAATTATCCCTATTTCCATCAAATTAACCCTTTTTAATTTATAATTAACCTTTTTGCCATCAAATTAATCTGTTAAAGTTATAATTATCCCTATTTCCATGAAATTATCCCTTTTTTGCATCAAATGCAACCATTTAAATTTATAATTAACCTTTTTTCCCATCAAATTAACCCTTTTTAATTTAGAAATAACCCTTTTCACTCCAAATTAACCCTTTTTAATATAAAATTAATTCTTTTTCGCATCAAATTAATCCATTTAGATTTATAATTAACCCTTTTTTCACATCAAATTAACCCTTTTTAATATAAAATTAATCCTTTTTCGCATAAAATTAGTCCATTTAAATTTATAATTTTTTTCTCTTAAATTAACCCTTTTTGATATAAAAGTAATCCTTTTTCGCATAAAATTAATCCATTTAAATTTATAATTTTTTTCCTCTTAAATTAACCCTTTTTAATATAAAATTAATCCTTTTTCGCATAAAATCAGCCTACTTAAATTTATAATTAAACCTTTTTTCCATCAAATTAACCCTTTTTAATTGAAAATTAACCTCTTTTCATGCTATATTAACTATTTTAAGTTTAAACGTAACCCATTTTCACGTCAAATGTACTTTTTTTAAACTGATTTACTTAAAAGTAATTTTTTTCACATCAAAATAATCCTTTTTAATTTCAAATTAACCCATTTTCACGCCAAATTAGCCCTATTTAATATAAAATTAACCCGTTTTTGCATCAAATCATTCCTTTTTAATTTATAATTATTATTTTTCCCTCCAAATTAATCTTTTACATTTATAATTAACCCCTCTTCCATCAAATTAAACCTTTTTAATTTCAAATTAACCCTTTATTGGAAACAAAGTAAAATAGTTGAGTTCACAGAATGTCATATGAAAATGAATTTCAATTAAAATTTAAAATGATCTAAAATTAAATATAGAAATAAATGTTTCTTTTAATTCAATTTCAAATAAAATAACTGTACTAAACCACAAGTTCTCCCTTTTTTTTTAAATTTTTTTTTTTTTTAGGCCTGGCAAATTACATTGTTCATCGGCAGTCCTCTTTTTCGTTAGCTTTGCGTTTCTTTTTTTATCTTTCGTAACGTTTTAAACCTACTAATTTCATTAATTGATACTTCAGCCAAGTTATGATGTTTATGATATAAAGGTAATCAACTCTCTTTTTTCTTTATCCTATTGCAATGAGAGAGTGAGGAGAGAGAGAGAGAAAAAAAAAGAGAGAGGCTGGGACAAACAGAGAGATGGGTGAGAGAGAAGAGTTACCCACTGAGAAGGACACCATATGCTTCATTGATTTATATAAGCTCAACTTCGCACACACGCGACATTCGCCTAAAAGTAAGTGTCAACCAGGCATGGCCGATTCTGAGTCGGGTTTGAGTGATCCTTCTCTGACGGTGCCAACTTTACTTTACCATATATTTTATGTGTTGTTTAACGATGGTAAGGTCTGAGATTGTGGCCGTTTAAGTACTACCGTTTTGTCGACTATCTTTCGAACAAAGGACGTTGACTGTCATAATCGAATATAATTTTGACTAACTATAGCTAGATATGGATGTATTTAAGAGCTTTTGTACCCCTTCTGTGCTTAAAATTGAATTATAACCGGTGAATTATAGTTCATCAATAAATATGCCTAACTTTTGAAATAAACACGATTAGCTAACTCTCTTACTTAAAAATAGCAAGATTCTTGAAATTAAATCCCGCCTATTTTCAAATGTGAGACATTTTAGAGATGTGAAATGTATTTTCTGAGGAAAATACATATCGAGGACGATCCCTTGTGATTTCTTTAATCCCTACAACACAAAAATAGACACTTGGCACACTGCACTCTGGTCGGCGCCCTATCCATAACTAATTATAGTTCATCAGTCTGCCTATACGTCTAAGTAAGTTCGAACTCAAATCTACCTTCCATTCAGCGAAAACAGCACAACACTCGTACTACTATAAACTTAAAAAATATATTTAAAGAAATAAAAAGAATAAACTGAATACATACCTTTCCCTTGGCTCATCCACAGCTGAAAAAAAACCAAAACATTACTAAGTAGAACAAAAATCCCATATTAATAAAAGTTAACACCACACAAGGTAAATATTTAATTTCATTTGATACAAATTTAGACCCGTTTTACAATTAAATTACATCCCAGTGTAAGAAAATCCCTAAGGATAAAGTTATAAAGAGTCAACCTCTTTACGGCTTTGCGTACGACCAATATTGGCCTATCGTGCAATACGCATTGTTATCTAGGGCTCTTCGTTAAGTTTAAAGCTTTTTACCAGATCCCAGCCTTGGCTTTTTAGGAGAGAGTCACAGGGAAAATCTGTTTTCTTCTTTTTCCTGGCAATATCTCCATATGTTTCCGGAGTTTGCAGGTCCGTCATATCGTTCTAGTCACACATCCTGTTTTTAATAGTCCTGTTAGTCTCAGGATGGTTGTTTTATAAAGTTTTTTTCATGTTTTGCAATTTAATCTAATTGAACCGACGACTTATTCTTAAGACATGGTCTTATGGATGTAGGTTTTTGGCAATTTGGTACGTCTCAAACGAGGTGTCCTCCGAACTTTCTTTGGCTAATTCATTAGCATTCTCATTGCTCCCTCAGCCCTTTATGCCCTGGTATCCAAACCATAGTAATTTTGACTTACTTGGTGTAATTCTAAACTGCTCCGGACTTTACTACTGATTAAGTTACCCTTGGCATTTTGATATCATAACACCATCTTGCTGTCTGAGTATATGGCTATTCTTTTATTAGTACCCAGTTTTTTGATCTCTCTGGGGTAGTGTGCAACAGTCACTTGAAAAACAATGGCAAAGTGCCCAAGTCCTTGTTTATTTCCATAGATACCAGCTCCTCACACATACTCAGATATAGCCGACATTAACTGGGATCCCTTTTTCCCAGTCTACTCTGTCAGAAATTTCCTTTAAAATTTGAATTTTGGGATCACAGCAACAACGGCATCCCCAGAACCTTATCTGCCTAAAGTTTCTACCGGAGCTATAATTGCTCCTTTTGATGCGAGAAGGCCATTGGAGCTTGTCCCTGCATCAAGCCGCCTCTAGCCTTTCCCTGGATGAAGGTATGTAGTGGGATTTAGGGAGTCTTCCAAGGCAGCGGAGGTCATTTTCGTTGTTCCAGATTCGCTAGTTTTTGGACAGTACTGAGAATCCTGGCCGCCCTAAGCTGTAATGTCTTTGCCCACCATACTACCGATCCTTGGGTTATCATGGGTCTAACAACCGCTGTGTATTTGTCCCCAGCTTGGTAACATCCAGCCTTGATCTTCTTAGATGAAGTTCCGGGATTTTTTCCAACCATGTTTATACTATTATATGTTTTAGGTATACCAGATATACCTTAACTGAGATCCCTTCTCCCAGTCTGCACTGTCAGAAATGTCCTTCAAAATTTGAATTTTGGGATCATGGCAACAACGGCATCCCCAGAATGTTGTCTGCCTAAAGTTCCTCCCTAATTCTCCTTTCTAAGAGAGTAGGCTATTAGAGCCTGTCTTGGCATTACCATGCGAATTATGGCTCTAGCCATCTGGATGAAGATATGTAATGGTTTGGAGGACTTCCAGGTAGCTGGGGCTCTTCTCATTTCTCCAGTAACGAGGGTAAAGCAAGTACAGGCAGTACCGATCATACAGACTGATTGTCATGGGTCTACCAACCGTAGTGATCTCTTCGGATTTACTCCTTAGCATTTTCCACAAAGGCGATTACATCCGCCAATGGCAATTTCCGCTGGCTGCGGCTCTGAAGTTTACTGCTGATGGAGTCTTTAGTTTTTTTGTTTTTTTTGGTAAATCCAGCCTTATCATCACCATGGCACAGTGATGATAGCCAGAAAAACAGGTTTAGATAAATTAGATTTTTTAGACATTGCGGGGAGTAGCATTGGAGACATAGTACTGGCTATTTACAGTATATGCAAGAGCTATGGATTGAAAGAATTCGAGACGACTGTTGAACGGTTAAACTCTGAACAGGTCTTTATATCCTTAACTTAGATTTATTATCACTGATTCCATGTTTCTAATCGTGTTCCATGATTCTAAGTGGAACCCAAGGGACAAGGTAAGATTTGGGAGACAAAAACCACAGGTGCAACAACTACCATACTAATAAACTACCTACATTGGAAACATACGAGATGGAAAAGCTTTGAAAAGCTCATGCAGGCTCAAAAATGCAATAAATTGGATATGGACTAAACATTTCTGGCAAACAATAACAAATAAAATCAGACACTCATTCCTAGAAATTTGGTCTGATTGTATGATCCCATGTGGCTTGTGCCATAGAAAATATTTAAAAAGACAGAAACTGCCAAAAAAAAACCTCAAGATCAAAAAGCCAAGAAGCTTTAAAAGCATTGGTAGATAAAAAGATTACACCCAAAATAGACGGTGAATACACCCAAAATTTCCAAATCCTAGGGACACATATGACAATATCTTGGGTGCCACATATAGACTCCTCCATCTCAAAATAGGAAAGAGAGAGAGAGAGAGAAAGAGAGAGAGAGAGACGAACTTCAGAGGTGCCAGAACACACCCCATAGTTAAAACCCACGTTAAAACAGTAAGCAAGGGAAAACTCAGGAGAGTGATAAGGCTATGTACTGGTCACTGACATCTGTACGGCATGACCCCATTTGCATGAAATATAGACGCCACTGCCACCTATCTTGGAATGTGAAGTAATCACTCAATGAAGACCTAACCTTGGGTACAAAAATGACCCGGGAAAAATAACTGCGGCAATGACAGACCTACTCCTCAAAAGAAGAATCGAGTCAACTGAACTTAACTGAATGTACTTTTCAGCACAAAAACCTAACATAAACCTGTATACGTTGAGAAAAGTTTCAAAAAATAAAATACCAATATATTGAGCTACAAATGAGGTATTTCTCTGTCAACCAAAGCTATAAGATCGTGGATATCAGTGATAGTAGTAGTTCTTTGGCCTTTATCCGTTCTATTTTTGGCCTCCATATGTCACTTATTTACGTGAACATGGGTTTAGTAATCGTAAGATATGACCATCAAGTTCTACCACATAGTCTTGACCATGAGTTCTCTAAGAGGAGTGGAAGGATAGTACTGTTGACACATCGGCCCGATGTGAGGAGAATGGTATGTGTAGTTGGGTCACCTGCGACATAAAGGTTAAAAAGGAATGGTCCAATTACAAGGGCCTACTCCTCACGGGCTTGTCGGGCCAGAAAGAACAGATTTGCTAGATAATTATAAATTAGTTAAGGAGAACCTTTAAGACGTCCTTTAATCAAATGAACTTTATTTGTGAGCTTCCTCGTGACATAAACAGCTCTAACTGTCTACATCCAAGAGTGTTTTAATTATATGTAAAAGACGAAAAAAAGGTACTTACGGCTAAAGTTGAGGTTGATAGATGCAGCTACTTCTCCGAGCTTGTTTTTCGCTTTGACTTTATATAGTCCTGCATCACTTTCTATCACATCGTCTAGTTCAAGAACAACTAAAAAAAGGTTTGTGCCTATCGGCTGAACTTTGATCGCAGTTCTATTGTCTTCAACTAGTTTAGTTTCACTACGGAACCAAGTGACTTCCGGTTTTGGAGAAGAGTTGACCTTGCACTCGAACACGAGACGGTTGCCTTCGTCTTCCTGTCGGAGTTGAGGCTTCTGCGTGAAGCTGGGAGCAAAGTCCTCGGCCACCCCCATCTCGGCAGCCAAGAACCGTCGAATTCGTTATACTCGAGACGAAGATATCAGTGTTCACCATCCATCACAACCTTTCCCTGTACAAAAAGAAAAAAAACTCGTTAATTTCCAGGGTGGGTCAATTTTTATCGTGTCAATATTGTGATAAGTGTAGATGGAAGATAGAATGCCGGAGAGAGAATGAAAAGACGAGTATATATTTATAAGTTCATTTATGATTTTTATGTAAACCGTGGTTGATGAAAAATTAGTGTCACGAGCGTAACTCGAACCCACGACGTTCGGCTCAGTACGCCGCTGCTCGAACTACTTGAACTATCTTAATTTCGATCCCCGGGACACCAACTCATCATTATAACCTAAAACATCTCCCCGTAGCCACTTCATGCGTGGCCTAGAATCGAAACGATAACATGAAATACGAATATATGGCAAAAAGAAGGAAATTTAAAAAAATTTACATTGAGATAATGACACTTTGCATAAAAATTATAAATCAATTTAAATCATTACTTTGGTCAAATATGACCAACTAAAAACACGGTTTAATATATTTTTTAAGGTCAGCTTAGAGATGTGGCTATGCCAGTCCACGTCAATTTTTGGTTAGATAAATCAAACATAACTAAACTAGTTGGAGAATTAAAAATTAAGTCCTTCATAGCCAATTTCAAAGCATGGTAATGCATGAGTGGCTTGTTCTTCGAAGAGAATATAGCCTGCCGCTCGATCCCGTTCGCGTAACGATAGTTTTTCATGTAAAACAGCTGCTCTGATCGCTTTTTCTCTTACTACTTGTTCTAAATTCTAAGGCAGTAGTTCTTGAGAGCAAATTGCAGCAATCCTAGCCTTAGCTAATAGAAGCAACGATAGACATGGTTCATGTTGCCAGGCATCTAATATAACGTCGATTTTCTTACCATCATCTAAGGCTTTTAATAATGCCAGATTATCAACAGCTGCTCCACGGCTAGTATTTAGCAAAATACGTCCCGCCGGCATAGCAGCAATCAACTCTTCATTTAATAAGTGATAAGATGAATAACGCCCTGATTATTTTGCCATTCATTTCTCCAAAAAGTACTAGACCGTTGGACAGAAAAGATTAAGCTGAAATGACCGCAAAGTTCAAATCAGTAAAAGCTTAGCCTGATAACATAAAAAAGAATTAAGAAGTATAGGCCACACCCACTTGACAAACTGGCACCTCCTCGTTGGAGGGACGCCCACGAGTTGCCGACGTGAAGAGTGTGAAAGACTAGGATTCTGTGTGTCCTGCCTAAATCGAAAATATTAAAGCCAAACAGTGAATATAAAGATAAGCTCTTTGAACTTAAAATTGACAAACGCATGGGTTTTATATATTTTACTGATTATGATGGGTAATAGAGGACGCGGTAGATTCAGCAAGCGCAGGGCTTTTGGACGTCATCATCTTTTAAAAATAGTAGGCCATTGACTGTCATTGCTGTAATTCTTTCTCTCGCGTTTTCTTGTTCTAGTTTATGTCTCCATTAGGCGGTTGCTTTGTATTCGAAGCAGGGTGGCAGTTTATTATATAACCTAAAAATGGGGTCATCGTTGATCATAACCCATAGATCATAAATTAACCCTTTTTTAAATTTAATATTAACATATTTTCACGTCAAATTAACACTTTTTAATTTAAAATTAACCTTTTTTCGCCTCAAATTAATCTTTTTTAAATTCTAATTAACGAATTTTCACGCCAAATTAATCCTTTTAGATTTATAATTAACCCTTTTCCCCATCAAATGAACCCTTTTTAAATTAAAAATAACACCTTCTCATTACATAACTTAAAAATGGCGTCATCGGTAATCATAATCCTGTAGTCCAGGTGTTTTCTCAGATGGTTTTAAATTAAAATTAACCCACTTTTCACGTCAAATTATCCCTTTTTCATTGGAAATTAACCCATTTTTATTACATAACCTAAAAATGGGGTCATCGTTGATCATAACCATATTGTCCAGGTGTTTTCTCAGATGGTTTAGTTGAGAATTAACCATTTTTCACGTCAAATTGACCCTTTTAAATTTAAAATTAACCCGTTTTCACTTCAAATTAATCCTTTTTAATTTAAAATTAACCTTTTTTTGCATGAAGTTAATTCTTTTTAATCTCAAAGGAACTAATTTTCACGACAAATTATCCCTTTTTAATACTAAAATTAACCCTTTTTCGCATCGAATTAATCTTTTTTAAATTTATAATGAACCCTTTCCCCCATCAAATTAGCCCTTTTTAAATTAAATTAACCCTTTGTTTTATTACATAACCTAAAAATGGGGTGATCGTTAATCATAACTATGTTGTTCAGGTGCTTTTTCAGAAGGTTAGAGATGGGTAGAGTGGTGGCTCACCCACCGACACCGAGTGGATCACCGTAAGCACCACGCAGGCGTATGGTGTATCGGACGAAAGCAGGAAGTGTACGGCATGCGAGAATGCGAACCTCTCCCTGCTTATGCGACCTCCTGCCTTCCCGGGGCAGCAACCGTTGAGGATCACTTTTGGGACAGAACTAAAAGAGGCAACGCCCCTATGAACCACCCTATGAAGAAAAAGGAAATATAGCCCGGAGCGGGTAGATTTCTAGACGGGGAGTGGGCGCAACCGGAGAGGGTGAGCTCGCAAATCGCAGGAACCAACCGTTTCCCAATTTGCAAAAAGGGTGAGACTGATAGCCTCTTCCCTGAATATATATTGTGTACTTGAGGGTAAACAGGACTGACCCGGTATGTGTTGGGTAACATGAAAAGGTGAGTTCACAATCGCGGAATTATTCCTCAAGAGGATGTCTTGGAATGGGCCGACCCTTGAACGGGACTCCCCTACCTCGTTTATCCACTTTTCATTTTGGGGATCAAAGAGACATTAAGTGGTACAATAAGCCGCGATGTGGGGTGGAACCTGAAAAGGTGAGATTCATATCCGCGGATAAAACCTTTCTCAACATTTTGCTTCCTAAGATTAATCCTGAATTACCCCAAATCCAAGGGGAGGGGGGTTTCCAGGCACAAGATAATGGTGCAGCACAGAACTGTCTAAAGGACAAACTGGATTCATATATGGGTAAAAGAAATCGCTCGTGGACGATACTGAATGTGCGCAATCAGTCTCACAGATGGGTCGGCGAACCAGATTCTGTCTGAAAAGAAATGGGAGCATGACCGACTGAACAACGAGCGCAAGAAACTTCCAACCCCATATCCTTGAGTTTGTATTCGTAGTGGACTAGTGGTGAGATTTCTGGAGGGTACTTAGGGTTTTATCGTACAGTACTGAACGTCTGTGCTTATCTAGGAGAGGTTAGCGTTCCACTTGAATCGAAACCGGAGCAGTTGTTCGGAAGTCCACTAAAAGAGGGTGATAGAACGGCCAATTATATCGACGGGACTAGTCGAGAGGTTCGGGCAACATGTTTCAGCCCCTTTGGGCATATTGCTGGGGGCTTCAGTAGGAGCAAGTGGGAAAGAATCTCGTCTTGTTCCTAACGTTATTCTACATGTGAACTTACAAGAAAGGCACCATTAAGGAGAAGCGCGTCGCCACACACCTTATTATAAAACTGATAAGGCCATGTGTCAGGTCTGGTCGAAAAAGAACCCCACAAAGAACTCATGTGCTCTACAACACTTGGAGTATCATGTTTTAGCAAGAACTTAAAACTTGCAATGGAAGTCTTCAGAAAATACCCTCGATCTCTAAATTGGACTTGAATTTCAGGGTTGATATCAATTTTGTGGGTAAAGGTAAAGATTCAATGCTGTCAATTCATAAATCATGATGGTAGCAACCGGAACAAACTCATGATTTAGTTAATATACGCCTGTCCCTCACGAACCTTAAACATTGAACATGACCAATAAATAAGAAATACACAATCTTCTTTCAACGCATAACCTCCAGAAACTGACAGTGCAGGTCCGTTGGACAATATTCTAATACATAGAAGCTAACATAATTTACCATTACATACCTTGGCATTTTTTCTAATCCCAGTCAATTCTAACAACAAGTCTGACGTGCACTTTTGGATAAGGCTTGAACACCTGTTTACCGACAAAAATGTCTATTTGCACGGCTCGACTATAAAGCACTGTTTATTATTAACACCTGCAAATTAAATTTAGCACCAGGTCGCCGTGAATGAATAACAAGACGTCAAAATAGAAGTCAGTATTATAAGAAAATTCAAAATGTATCTTTGCCTTGTGAATCACCGTGTTATTTCCGCAGTAGAACCTCTTGCCAAAGGTGAGTTAGTGGGTCACGTTTAAAATCTTCTGTTGTTTCCGACTTTTTTTTCAACATTTAACATTGCGCCTGCTTAATCAACTTAAATCGTGTAAAAATATGTTTGACAACTTAATTATTTTTAATAGTCAAATATTTATTTATTTCTAAAAAAAATTTATGATGGTTGGCAAAAAATTCCGCCCACTTTTAATATAAGTTGATTTGTATATAGTTTTATATATTGTTCAAAGTCTCATGTTTAATAATTGAGTCTTTGTCTAAAAAAGTTAGAAAAAAAATGTAAATTGCTAAGGAAAATGAAAAATATAAAAAATTTAAAAAAAGACGGACAGATAAAATTTGTTTTAGATTTTTAATTATAGTTATTCAGATATCGTGAGATGCGGTCGGGTGTGATGTAGGTTCCAGAAAAACATTTTCTTTATCGTGCCAAGCCAACGTTTCGATCTTTTATTGAGATCATCTTCAGGGCTCAAAGTGTTTGTCTTCTGTGTAATTGTGCCATCCTTGCGTGTCGTGTTGAGAATGCCCTCAAGAGTTTGTCTCAACACGACACGCAAGGATGGCACAATTACATAAAAGACAAACACTTTGAGCCCTGAAGATGATCTCAATAAAAGATCGAAACGTTGGCTTGGCACGATAAAGAAAATGTTTTTCTGAAACTACATCACACCCGACCGCATCTCACGATATCTGAATAACTATCGATTAACGGACACTAATCTCTACACATTTTTAATTATAATTTCAATATGGCGAATTTCCTCCTCTTGCCTTAATTACATCT